GAAGCAATGGCATTGTCTCTAGTCCTTCAATAAATATGATGAGCAAATGGAATCCTAACAAACAGAAAGATTTGATGCTTGCCCATGTAATTGTGGCAGACGCAAATTGCAGTTGAGATTTAAGGATGCTATTTATTATGGAAGCTAAGGCTATTTTCATGGGAGAGATGACGCGTAAACTCATCAGTGGTATTTAACCATGGAGTGGAGTCTTCTGAGGCCGTCCTCCCTGTGGCAGGACTTTAAAGGCATTGGGAGGCCACCCCTGTCCTCCCCAAACCATCTTCCCTCATGGCCAGGTACGGGCACTAGAAATTCTCACCATGAGAAATGGAGACTTGACTTGGAGCGGTGAACACATAACACAGTATACAGATGATGCATTATAGAATTGTACACCTGAACTTACATAACTTTATTAACCAGTGTCACCCTTCATAAATTCAATGAAAATGAAAAGAAGGGAAATGTAAAATGTGTTCTGTGGGAAATGCAAAGTAGCACATTGGACCCCTTGTCAATTAATTGTATTTTAACGTACAAATGGCAAAGAGAGGCCAACAATACTATCAGTAGGCACACACAGAGCAGGAGGACCGACTCACGCCAAAGACAGATGAAAAGTCACCCATGGTGGGGGCGAATTAGAGAAGCAGAAATACTGTCAGTTCCAACACTAGCCCAATCATGTTGAGCCAACCCGGGTTACAGCTGCTTACGAGACCAGGATATAGGGCTCCCGTAGACTGTTCCATAAAGGCGGCTGTCACCAAGTTATCAACCGCTCAGCCTCACTGCACTGAGGGGAGAAGTCGTGGCGGCAATCCAGGAACTAAGCCAATGGTTTTGGCTCTGAGAAGATGCTCAAGCAGGGCTTCCAATGAAAGACGAGCAGGAGAGGACCTAGAGAATGAGCCAGGTCAGTAGTAAGGTGCACTGCGCAAAGAGAGGAAGAGACACCTCAAAAATGGGAATTTGGGGCTCATTCTTCAAACCCTCTCCCAAGCCACCATTGTTTCTGTTATACTTGGTCCTGGATTCCCAGTGGGAACGGAGTTTCAACAAGGGTCTGAAGGAACAAACCCAGTCAGAAAAATGCAACATTCATCAGTAGGTTTTTAACGCTGCCCAGTCGAGAACAGAGACGTCAAAAAGAACATGAGATGATCCAAAGCGAGGTAACTTAATTTCCTAGTCTTCTTAGAAAGCCGGATTCAGAAGGAATGGGAGCCTGCGTACGGGACTGCTCTGAGATCAAAGAGGGCGGCAGAGGCTAGAACGTGTCTAGTAGTCACAGAGGATAAGGCAAAGTAAGCCTTGTGTCCAGTGTGAAGGTGTTGTTTTGACCTTCGGCGTTCAGGTCACTCACGAGCTGCGGATCTGAGCCAGCTGTGGAAGCGCCCCTCAACTACGTCTGCCTCGCCCAGCATCCCAGAGCCCCTGCTCTCTCGACAGTCCCCAGTGATCGCCCCGTGGCCGTTTCCAGTGGGTTTGTCTGAATTCTCATCTCCTTGGACCTGGAGGCTACTGACCATCCCCTCATCAAGACTCTGACTTCTTGGACTTCTCTGTCACTTCAGCTGCCCCTCACTTCCCTCTCCAACTGCGTTTAACCAGATGTCACCTCTATCTTCAGGGACCCAGCTAAGCCAAGGCAGAATCTCACGCCAGGGATTTGGGGAAGCCCCGGGCCGGGTCTGTCACTGTTATCAGTGTCCCCACGGTTCTTCCACATCTTCCCCTAACATCTAGATGCTAACATCTTCCCCTGGACAATCTTAACAACGCCTACACCTCTAACTATATTGTACTATAACTTCAGCATCTCTCCCAACTCTAGTCTTTTTTTTCCAACTTTTTTCCACTAGAAATACACTGTTGTTTCATTTTCTGAGGCCCAAAAAACTTCACTCATGTTGACGCATAGCAGGTATCGAGTCAGTGCTAGTTTCCTTCTGTTTCACTCCATTGTTGCTCTACCTCCAATCGGCTTCCCTATCCCGAGCTGTCCCTCTGAAATGCAACCCCTCTTGCCCCACTCCCTCCCCAGGCTCCACGCTCTCAGTCCTTCCTTTTTGCCAGCCTCCAGATTGACCCTCCTTCCCTCTCACCTCGTCCCACCTCTACCTAGCTTCTTGATGTATCATCTGCCAACCTTCCTTACCAACAAATCTCACAAATAATCATTGAAAGCACTGCCAAATAGGATTTTACCTACTTTGCAGTTTCATCTTCCACTGCTGTATTTATCCTCTGCTTCAGGCTAAAAATTGGTCTGTCTGGCTCTAAACATACCTCCTGCTGTATCTCCTTAACAGGCCAAGTTTGTGCTTGAAAAAACTTTCCCTCAGACCTGCACGCACTCATCTGTCCAAACATATCCCATCAAACTGTATTCCAGAATTATGCTAATATTATACAGTCATAGTTGATTGAAGTTGGAACTATGGGAAGTATATAAAGTTTTAATGTCCTTCTCATGAATCTTCATTAGTGATACCATTCCCTGTTTATTCCACGCATGGTATTCTATGATTTGCACTAGGTTTTGATCAGGTGAAGATACTGTCTCTCTTGAAGGGCATGTAGTCAATGAGACAGGCAGACAAAATTTATATAAACAGAATATTTGGGTTTTCAAAGCCCTGACTGAATGCTGCCTCCTTCTCGGAACCTCTTCTTATCACTCCCTCAGACTTCGGAAATTCGTCATTCTTTACTTACACCTTTTTTGGGCCACATAGGTGTTTGTGTGTAGCAATTATCTCTTAGTCTTATGTACTCTAGGCTCTAAACAAGCTGTGGGCCATGACCAGGGTTCACTTATTCCTGTGTTCTCAGCACCCCACAGAGTACAAGTGCATATACCAGATAATCAATTGTGGTTCTGTTGGTCAGATAGCATCAAATTAAATGGATAATCTATCAAGTGGTTAGTAGACTGAGAGTTTTAATAATTCATAAATGGGGCAAGAGGGAGGTAAGGTAGGATCAATGCGGATTGGAGGAGATTTAATGACCATTGCCTTCTTTTGGAATTATAGGAAATAAAATGGTAAAAAGGTTATGGAAGAACATTATAGATATGAGCAAAAACCTAGAGGAAATAGTAACCTTGAAGAGAGGGAGGTAAGGAGACACACCTGCCTGTGTTTAAAGGATCTTTAGATTATAAAGTATCGGGCATCATAAATAAGGACAAGAGGAACCCGTTTGGCAAAAATAAGTTTTAGTTCAATTAAATTTAGTCCAAATGACGTGATGGCCTGATACCAAATGAAACTGACCTATGGGCAGACAAAGACCTGGAACCTGAGCTACGGTGAGAGCGAGGCTTAGGCATCATCAGCATGGAGGAGAAAGAAGAAAACAAGGAGCCAAGGATCTGCACATCTCCTCCATTTGGGATAGAAAGGGGAAGTCGAGCTAACTGGGAGTCAGCAGATGGGCCGTTGGAGATAAAAGAAGAGGACCCAGAGTGTGCACAAAATCACTGAAGGTATGTCTTGAGGGAAGGACAGGTATCTACGAGGCCTGTCTGGAAAAAGTTCAGCCATTGTTCATATAACGAGAACCGTTTGTGTGACACAGATGTAACCTGGCAGCCAAGGAGAGTGGACTGGAATGCACATTCATGAACAATGACAACTTCGCTGGGCTAGTCAGTAGGGACAGTAGACACCAAGTGAGCATGTGTACTGTGTGGCTGTTGCATTCAAAATGACTGAGTGAGTAGAGTAATGAACCTGCATAAAATTTTGCATTAAGCTTGAACATTCCTTCACGGAAACTATTCAGATGATTCAGAAGTCCACAGCTATGGGAAAATGGTGATTGGCAGCTTCATCACAACAACGCACCTGCTCATGCATTACATCTCGCGCTGAGTTTTTTGGTGAAACATCAAATCTCCCAGGTGACTCAGTGCCCCTAGAGCCTAGATTTGGTGCCCGTGACTTCTGGCTTTTCCCAAAACTAAAGTCACCTTTGAAAGGGAAGAGACTTCAGATCATCGATGAGATTCAGGGGCAGCTGATGACAACTGGGAGAACTGTGTGAGGTCCCAAGGTGCCTGCTTTGAAGAGAACTGAAGCATCATTGTCCTATGTACAATGTTTCTCGTATCTTATATCTTCTTCAATAAATTTCTCTATTTTTCATAGTACCTGGCTGGATACCTTCCGGACAGGCCTCATGTATTGGTGATGCTGGGGCGGCCAAGACATTAAGAGGACAAGGTAGCTGCTCTTTGAGTTTCTACAGAAGCTGGTCTTTACAGAGTAGGAGAAAGGGAAGCAGAGAATTTCCCAGCAATGAGGGTGAACATGGGACATAGGAGCGAGGTTTGGAGAGGAGCCTCACAGTTGCCAAGGGCCCCGCAGCCAAGGTAAGATGGGCGTGGGTGTTGAAGGCCAGGTTTCTGCATGGCCTTCCCTGGATGGGAGCCTCCCAGGCGGACAGCCCTCCCTCGCCGTCCTCATTTACCAGCGGACGACAGTGGCTGGGTTCCATCATTCAACTAATTTCATCCTCCTAATGAAGGGGCACTTTTATGAGACAGCCATGAGAAGTACTTTACAATGCATGAATATGAATGAGAAACACATTTACAATGCCAGAGAAATAAAGTTTATTGGGAAGTAAATGAAGTAGCTTTCTTGCATTCCAGAGAATACCAGAGAAGCCGGGAAAGCAGGAAGCATGGTGTGTAGAGGAAACGCCCTAAAGTAATACCTGGAGCTCAGATTACAGGGAGCTGGACATCTTCAGATACAGAGAGACTCCACCTTCTATGGGAGGCAGTTTTCCAGACATTGGTTCTTAATGATGTGTCTTTGCTTGTTGGATCTGGAAGGACTTTCCATATCTAGAAATATCGCAGTTGGCATGACAAGGTTTCTAAGGCAACTGAGCTCCGGCCAAGGCAGGACCTGGGGCCTTTACTAGTTTGGATCTCATCAGTTTCATTGTAGCCTTCAAAGAGGGTATCAGTATTTAAGTTAACAGCAACCTGCTTGAGAGCCGCCACAGGGCACGCAGGAGTTTCCACAAGCGTTGGTGGTAGCACATGGGTTGCAGGGGAGGCTGGAAGAACAGAGTTTTAGAATGGATTAGGGAAGGGAGTGTAGAAAACACCAAAGTTTACTGCAAAAACCTACATTCTCAGTGGGCAGAGCTATTTAGAATCAAATGTGATTATTACCAAATCCTTTCCCCTTCCCCAGAATGCCATGGGCAGAGGTGGAAAATTGTCCTTTTGAGAAATATTACCTCCATCGTTAGCTCTCTGAGGCAGAGGATGTCATTTGCTTTTGAACTTACATATCTGCTAATTGTCACACAGTAGACACTCGATTAATGTGTGTTATTTGGTGAGCTGAAAATATGGCCAACATGTGAGTGCCCACAGTGTTGTGGAGTCCGCCACACGTGTTTTCCCAGAAGTCCTTTGTCTCATACTCACTTGCAGTCCTCGCTCTCCAGCAGGCTCCGGTATGTGTTGATCTCACACTCCAGCCGGGCCCGGACGTCCAGCAGCACCTGGTACTCCTGGTTCTGCCGCTCCAGGTCACCCCTGATCTCCGCCAGCTGAGACTCCACGTTGGTGATCATGCACTGCACCTGGGCCAGCTGGGAGCTGTAGCGGGCCTCGGTCTCCGTCAGCGTGTTCTCCAGGGAGTTCCTCTGTGGGGCGGGAGGGCACATGAGGAATGTCACAGAGCTGCTCCTTTAACACGGCCCTCCACAGGGCTCCGTGCAAGTCATGGCTTCCCTAGTTGCCTTCCGGGTGACTAGGACCCGGAAGGCCTACCAGTGACTCTGATTCCCCAACCTCACACTTGTCACCAGAGGTGTGGGCGATACCCACCAGGTTGTGCTGGGCCTGCAGCTCGATCTCCAGGGCGTTGACCGTGCGTCTCAGCTCGATGATCTCTGCCTGGCAGGTCTGCAGCTGCTCTGAGCTGGACACCACCTGCTTGTTCAGCTCCTGGGTCTGAAACACCAAAGGTAAGGGACGGAATCAGACCCTGCCTCGAGGGTCCCAAGGTCCTGAGTAGCCCTGTGCTGAGATGCCCACCTGGTTGGCGAACCATTCCTCCACGTCCCTGCGGTTGGTCTCCACCAGGGCCTCATACTGACACCTGGTCTCGTTGAGCACGCGGTTCAGGTCCACGGTGGGGGCAGCGTCCACCTCCACGTTGAGGCGGTCTCCAATCTGGCAACGCAGGGTGTTGACTTCCTGGTGGAGGAAGGGGAAGGAATGAACCCACAGAAATAGGTCTGCTAACTTTCTGCTATAGTCAAGTGAGATTGAGCCTGCCAAAAAGTGCACTAAAAAGAATATCCTGCTCTTTCCAAAGACTGACACAGACACTGTGTAGAAATAAATTCAATTTCTTTCCCAGAAAACTGAAACAAGCTCAGATTTCCTGTAAGACTAAGTCACAGCTCCTGGGCATATGTAGGTCATTTGTCATTTCTTGACACATGCCCAGCCATACATATCCACAGACCATCCCCAACTATACCGTTCTGTGCCACTTTGCTGTGCCATGTCTTTGCTCAGCCATCCTCCTCCTCCCCATCACAAGCCTCTGAGAAGAGTTTCCTTTGAGGCTGACAGGGTTGTTCCCAGAACAGTCTGCTTACCTGTCTTATGCGGCACTTACTTCCCTCTCCCAGTGTTGTATCACATTTTTACGTGGCTATCTCCCAGACTACAGATGAGACTGTGAGCTCTTAAAAGAGAGGGGCCACGTCTCATTTCCATTCTTTTCCCCCTCAATCTCTACCAGAAAATTCAGGACCTAACAGTGACCAACATCCTGCCTCAACACCGCCAACACCTGTCCAGCCTTCCTGGCTCACCTTACTGCGTACTGTGGGCATTGCTTCCTTATCCCCGGAGCTGACCCTGATTTCCTCAGAAAAGGGTGCCATCCCAGCAATCCTGACAGCAATTGCCTCCTGATGCTGAAGGCTTAGCTCTGACGCCTATTTTTTATCCTTTTTTCCTCCTTACCTCCTCATGGTTCTTCTTGAGACAGAGCAGCTCCTCCTTCAGGGACTCCACCTGGGCCTCCAGGTCGGCCTTGCATAGGGTCAGCTCGTCCAGGATCCTGCGCAGGCTGTTGATGTCTGACTCCACCAGCTGCCGAGAGGAACGTTCCATCTCATACCTGCGCACACAGATAGGTGTGGGAGGCAGAGCCAGGGAGGAAGCCCATCTTCCTGCCCTTGGTCCTGTTTGAAGGAATTGGTCTAGCTGTCTTTGAACTGACAGTTTTCTGTCCCTTCCCTTCCATGTGTCCTTCGAGCTCAGCATGGATAGGCTGGAGAGGACCTGAGTCATCCTAGCACCAGACAGTGTCCATGGGGACGGCATCTTCCTCTCTCCTCTCCATGTTGTTGGTTAATATACCACCAAAGCAATCGATTCTCCAAGAACTAATTTCAGTCTCTGAATTCAGGGGTTTTAGGAGGCCTTCCAGAAAGAGAGACTGAAGAGCAGATAGCATAGGAACCTGGATCTCTGAAACTAATTTTCCATATCCAGACATGAAAGGGTATGTAATCTCCATCCCTTGCAGGCAATGTTAGGCCCGTGGGGTCATGAGAGAACCACAAGGACCTTGGAGGCCACCTAGCCAAAAAGTCTCAACATACTTGGTTCTGAAGTCATCGGAGGCCAGCTTGGCATTGTCGATCTGCACCACCAGCCGGGCATTCTCAGACTTGGCACACAGAATCTGAAAACAAGACTCTACTGTGAGGCCCACTTGAACTTGAGAATATCTTATTGTTCAAAGACAGCCAGCTGCTGCTGTGCCCCCACCCACCCCACACCTCACCTTCTGCTGCAGCTCCTCGATGGTCCGGAAGTACGACTGGTAGCTGGGGCACATCAGTGGCTCCTGCTGCTGGCACCGCTCCCGAATGCGGCACTCCAGCTCCGCGTTCTCCCGCTCCAGCTGCCGCACCTTCTCCAGGTAGCTGGCCAGGCGGTCGTTCAGGAACTGCATGGTCTCCTTCTCACTGCCATTGAAGGAGCCCTCACAGAACCAGCCACAGTTGCCCACGTTGGCAGGGATGTTGCAGGCCCCGGGCAGGGGGATGTTGTGGCAGCTGGGGGCCACGCAGGGCCGGGAGGGGCAGGTGGAGCAGCAGCTCAGGTTGGACAGGCAGCAGTTGTAAGGCATGGTGCCGGGAGAGGTGATGGAAGAACAGGTGAGCTGACGGAGTTGGATGTGGATAAGTTTGAGTCTCTCCTTCCTCCATGGTCCTTTTATACCCTTAAATTGTGGGTGGGGGCTTGGCATCTAGCATAGTTTCCTTTCCTAATGCTTCAGGTAATTTTTTCTCCAAAATATGCTAGTTAGATGCCTTCACAGAGTCCCCCCTCATCCCATAAAATTATTCCATTCATCTTGCATCACGCTGGCCTCCTCCTGGGTCCTGGTGGTTGGTGAAATCAGAGTTTCATCAGATGGCTTCAAAGAAGGCAGAATCATCACAGCCCCAAATGGCTCTCCCCATTACTCAGAGGGGAGGACAGCCAGGGATATGGGGTGGAGTTGTTTGGGACTCCTCATCCATGAGGTTCTGCCACTGGACTCCTTAGAGAGTTTGAGATGAACAGTGTCCTGGTTACCTTCCAAGTGTACCCATGTTTCCATGTTCAGTTCAACTTGACTTTGTAGCAGAAATTCATCCTGTATCAGCTGTGAGGATTATGATCCTTACTCAGTGAGAATATTAATTGGGGCTTAGGGAAATTGTCCATAAGGGAGAGATTGAAAGTAATTGAGTGTTCATGGTTGGGAAATGAAACAAGTGAAATGGGTAGGAATAGCACTGATGCAGAGATCAGCACACTACAGCCCACAGGCCAAGTTTGGCCCGCTGCCCTTTTTTGTAAATAAAGTTTTATTGGCACACAGACATGTTCATTCATTTAGGTATTGTCTATGGCTGCTTTTGTTCTACAATGGCAGAGTTGAGTAGTAGCAACAGAGACCATACGGCCTGCAAAGACTAAAATATTTAGTTCTGGCCCTTTTCAGAAGTTTACCAACTTTCACTGAAGCAACAATCTCCCCAACGGTGAGAAAAAGAAGAAATATATAAAAGGAAACATGCTGGGTTCAAATGGCAGTACTGCTGCATAAGCATGAAACTTAATACTCAGACTTAACAAGAAAGGAAATCCAGGATGAGGTGCTCAGAGCTATCTTTGTGTTCACGGTGACCTTATCTCCAAGTCCCTGGAAATTTCTCTTGCCTCATTGCTAGACTTAATCCTCTTTCTGAGAGCATTGAACATCCCTGAAGGTGTGGCTCTGCCAACCCGAGACACTCCCAGAACAAGTCACAGCACCCTTAAGAATGCAACTTGATTCTGTCATCCCGAAGAAGTGGACAGTGTCTGTGATGAGTGTGTCTCTCTCCATTACTTCAGGGATCACATACCCTTTGACACTTCCAAACCCTCTTGCCCAATAATTAAATTTTTTATCCTCACCCAAGGACATTTTTTCACTTCTTTTAGAGAAAGGAGGGAAGAGAGAGAGAGCGAGAAACATCAATGTGAGAGAGAAACATCAATTGGTTGCCCTCCATATGAACCCCAAATAGGATTGAACCTGCAACCTAGGTGTGTGCCCTGACCAGGGATCAAACCCACAACTTTTCAGTGTATGGGATGATGCTCCAACCAACTGAACCACCCAGCCAGGACTCAATAATGAATTATAACGCAATGGTAATTGTATCTCATCTTCTATTTTCTGTCACTCCAGCACTGTCCTTCATTCTGCACAGAAACAAAATCATACTTGAAAAAAAAAATTCTCTAAAGATTATTTGGAGGACACAATGTAAGTCATTTAAGAAGGGTGTGCCCAGGTTCAAAGGCAGTGCAGAAGGAAGAAAAAAGGACACATCCAAAGCTAAATGGCCTCAGTTCACATCTTCACTAGTGCTATGACCTCAGAGAAGTGAATTCCCTTTTTGACTCTTGTTTTCTTCCTCTCTTAAATTGAAGTAATAATAATGCTGCCCATATCATAGTTTTGTTGTGCCAGTTCAGTAAGATATTGTGTGTGAAAATGGTTGGGGGTAGGGTGATAATAATTATGGGTGTAACCTGCCCCCTTACTATTGTTGACCTAGATGACTCAGTTGAAGAATTTTGTGAAAATTCAATTTTGTTGAACAGACACCTGGACGGGTTGCCCATGCCAACCCAGTGGCGATTGAACCTCATTCACTTGCCTTGCCAGCACGAAGGGCACAGAACTGTATTCATGAACTAATCAACAAAAATGCAAACTTTAGTATTTCCTTGGTGGCTGGAATAGGAAGTTTGCAGGTGGTGTATGGTCCCTACTTTCTTCGCTAAGTTCCTGTTCTTGTGGGTTTGGTTATCTTATTCAGGGTAGTTCTTAAGGAGGACAAGTTCTTTACATGGCGTTGTATTGTCACCAAAGTCTCCTTTCTTGTACTGTCATTGAAATGGGCTCTACTCATCTTCTGGGAATCCTCCAGCCTTACATTTCTGTGCAAGTATTCATAACAGTGATGATGATGATGATGATGATGATGATGATACCACTTCATGAATACTTACCATGTGCCAAACAAGGTGCTAAGTGCTATGGCACAATTTTCAGTTGATCCTTCCAACAACCCTATAAATTTGGTCTACAAAATTATTCCCTTTTACAGATTAAGGACACAGGTAGGAAAGACTCAGAATCTTCCCAAGCCACAGCCAATAAATGGCAGAGCTGGGATTTAAGCTGTTCAGGTGTCTAACTTCTGAGCCTGAATACCTAAACACAGTGCAAAAACATTTGGCACAGATGATTCTCTGATTTGTTAGAGGAAGGAAATTGTAGATTAATTTCTGCCCGTAGTGTCCTGCTTGTAGTTTTGCTTCTGGTCCCCACTGGGGCCCTGTTCCCCACTCCCGACTCCCCCCATCAGCCCATCAAAAGCCACTCTGCCCAAGCAGTCCTCTCACCCAGCTACTCTCTACAGTACCTTCCTGAACTAAGACCAAGTTACACTTGTTAGCTTTTCTCTACAGGAAAGTAGCCATCTTTTTTCATAATTGACTGATATGTCCAGGTTGGAAATTAAATTGGGGGGGAGGGGGGTAGTGTTTAGCATCTAAACAAATGAAAATGCACAATGGCATGACCTAAGGTGATTCAGAATCCGGGAGAAAACCTACCTGCCTAGCCTTGAACTTTTATCCTTGTACAGCTCACTTCAGCAGTAAGTTCCATGACTTACAGAATCAAAGAATTCTATAGCTAGAAGGACATGAATTTATGGAAGAGAGAACTGAGGCGCAGATAGTGAGGTCATAAAGAGACAAATATCTATAGGTCACTTTCTAGTCAGGTGGTCTACTGGGACCCTTCACACACAGTCTACCTATCTCACCCCAAAGAGTGTAAATTCCATGGTTGTCACCCATGTCAGAAATGTGAAATCTGAGACACTGGGAAGAAACTTGTCCATGTGACACAAGTAGGTGCATTCAAGCCTGTCCAGGCCATCACACCTCATTGTGAATTAGAGGTGAGAGGCTGCCTGAGTCAGGGTGGGTCGAAGCCCAAGAACTGGGAGAAAACATGGAAACCAGATCGTGAATTTTGATGCCAGTTCTGAGGACAGACAGGAAGCTACACCTAGGCATCCTGCATATTGCTTTGTTCCTCAGTAGAATGGGGGTTAAAAAGTGACAAATCCCACAAGCTCATGAGGAGGTGTGACTCCTGGAAGTAATGAAATGTGCTTTTATAGGGGAAAATGCTTAGGAGTCCGGGGCAGCACTGCTCTTCCTGTAGATGCCGAGAGCAGCCTCAGGCCTCAAAGTACACAGACAACGACTTTGACCCCCGACCCAGGGAGGGAAAACGTGCCGCAGTTCTATCCCATAGCAAATACAAAATTTTCGGAGAAACAGAAAGGAAAAGAATCAGTAAAAATATTTAGAATGTAAGCCTGCAGGAAAATCAAATATTTGAGAGTGATATGGCCCGTTGGTTAAGGAGCCAATAAAACAGACCACCAAAGAGCATTGGATGTGCCAACCGAGAAGGGGCCTAGGGCCCTGTCACAAGATGGGCCTGCAGTCAAAGAGTATTAAATAGAGCCAAGTAGAAGATATATTCGTCGTGTGGAGATGAGTGGGGGCGGGGCAGTAAGAGAAGAGAGAAATGATGGTATGAAGAGCAACAGGTTGGTATATAAATTCTACTGTTGGGCATGAACCCAAAAATCTTTTTTTTAAGATGACCATACTTCTTTATCCAAATAGAAATATTTGGTTTAAAACGTGTTTTCATAAATCTAACCTTCCATGAATCTCTTGACAAGTACATAAAGGAGAATGTGTAGTAAAGGAATAAGCAAATGCAGGCAGGACCTCCAGACCGAGCTTGACCTTGGGTTTGGAGGAAATCACAGGCATGGTGGCGAACACATTAGAGCAGACGTCCGGGTCAGAGGCTTCTCACAAAGCCAGGTAGCAAAACGTGCAAATCTGAATCCATCCTGGAATTTGAGCTTTAAAAATGAAGATCAGGGGACAGTTAGCGTAGAAAGAATAAATCGTTGCTTTATTAAAAAAATATATATATATATGTAATTTCAATTTGTTTTTATTATTTTGGTACACGAGACTGTTTCACCAAAGCAGGGTCTGACTCCAGCCTCAGGATGCCTGGCAGGGTGGGCAAGTTGGTGGGAAAAATCAGGGACCTGAGTGGTCTCTCACCCCTTCCTACAAAATGGTCTTCCAAAGCTTTAGCAAGTCAATGCAGAGCCTGTCCGTGGCTCTTCATTAGAAACAAAGAAAGACAGCCATTCTTGATGAATGCTGCTGTCACTTTCAGTTCTTGGAGAGCTGCTTGCCTATCTGGCTTGTGTTCACAGTGCCAGGGCTATGCCTTGTCACTACACTACATGGGGGTCGGGGGGAGTTTTATCCCTTTCAACAAATTGTAATAACTTGCAGCTAGAACTGTTTTTTTCTTTATGTGACTCTCCCCTCCCCACCACCCAGGACCTGCGCAGAGGAGGTGTTCAACAGGTGCTGGTTGTGCTGGGCTGAGAAAAGCAGGAGTGTCAAGTGAAGAGGTAAGGGGTCTCTGAGCCCCAGCGTGCAGAGGGGGAGCAAGCAACTGGACCCCAGGCTTGTAACGATCCACTAACACAGGAGGAAGGACATAGTCCTGGGCTCAGCAGATGAGTCAGAAGGTCCCTTCCCTAGGTGCTCCTGAGGCTGCTGGGACCACCAGTGACCGAGGGGA